GACAGTAAATGTTAGTTAAAGCTCAGAACGTTCACGTCATAAGTTCATGATCACCAAAAGCTGCAGGATTCATGATCGTGAAAATGCAGAATGTGACATCAGATCATCAGCTGACACACAAACCTATTTGACCTCACACAAACGAGTCTGAGGTCAAATAGGTCATAAAATAATGAACTTCCTCTGTTGGATTTATTACTCCTCTGAGCCAAAGCTTCTCCATTTCCTGATGATTGCTTTTCCAAATGTATTCCTGTGTGTTTATTATCAAATAAGAGCCAGATATTCCATATTCCTGTGTTTGCCGACCTTAAACCTGCTCTGATGAGCTTCTCTGTGCTGCAGCGGCGGCCGTCGGTTTGCTGCAGGAGAATTATCTGCTTCCTATTCCCTCCTGCTTCCTGGACGTGTTGACGTGAGTGAATATCTGACGTGAATCAATACAAACGCTGTTTATTCACCTATAAATGTAAAGACGAATCACACAGAACTTCTCCGGCCCTGTTTGTGCTCAGGAGCAAGGAGCTGGATGGAGTCCTGGCTGCTCTGCTGCTCTATCTCACCTGCTTCTTTGAGCACAGATCTCTGGAGAACACAGCTGCAGCGCTGTAGGCTCATCGTTTCAATGCTGTCTTTTTTTTATCCACACGTCTGCGGCTTCTCAATCACTGTATTCTCCTCCTTCCACCCCCTTTTCTGCACCTTTCTAACCCACATTTCAGCACCAGCATGGCCACAGAGCAGCAGAAGATGGCCGAGTCTCTGGCTAAGAAGGAGATTTCTCAGAGGAAGCTGGCCGTCTGCTACTTCAGCCTCATGATGGACCTGCACAACGAGCAGCATCCACGACACAAGTGAGCCTCTCTTCACACCTGTCACTACAGGCAGAGATGGAACTCTTCTCTCTGCTGGATTTTCACCTGTGACACCTGAACAAAACAACTCCAGGTGTCTGGTTCAGACGGCAGCGGTGGAGGAGCTTTTAGGGAGTCGTCAGAATGTGTAGCTGAGGTTGAATCTGAAATGAAAGGACGGATGACGTCATGGTGGGTGTTGGACACCAGAGACGGGTTCTAGACAACAATAGATGAGCTGTAGCCTCAAAGAAAACTAAAGTCCAGATGAGTAAAAAGAACATATAAGAAGCAGACAGACATCAAAGAAAGGACACACAGCAGCTCACAGTGTCAGACATAATCATCACTATAACTGTTATCAATGAATGATAACAGAAGAACAAAACCAGAAGATTATAAATGATTAAATGTACGAATACGGCATGAAACAAACAGCACATGTAAATCACGTTTTTCCACCACAAAGTAGCACATCACACAAAAATAAAACTAAAAACACAAACCAGAAAACAAACAGGAAACCAGAGCCCACAAACTCTGACCACTAGACTGATTTTTATTAAACTGTGGATGTTCAGGTTCTTTATATTTCTGTTTTAAAGTGTTTGATGATCTCAGATGTCGTCAGAATCTGTTTTACTGCCTCGTATGTTTTATGTATGAGGACTGTGATGTGGGAGAACACTGACGAGCTGAATTATTTTTTTATTGGATAAAGAATCAAAACGAAAAATCCAATGTTGGAAGCAAAGTAATTAAAGCAGCAGAAATATCTTGTTCAAGCTGTTTGTTTGTGCAGGAATGTGCAAATTAGTCGCCTGAGTGCGCAAAATTACACGGTTTGTGGTGTAAACAGCTTAAATTGTGCGAAAGAATGATAATAATCGGACGTACAGGAGGTGTTGTTTAAGACGTTTTTGAAATCAAAATGAACCCAGACGTTACTTTACCTTCCATATCAAGTCTGTCCTCTGTGCACCGTTAACAGAAATGATTCACTCTGCAGATTTTAAAGCTTTATTAGCTCAAGTTTTTGTGACATTTTTTTCTTTCCATTTCCTGTTTGTTTTTTCTGACTTGTGATGTGTTCTGTGCTTCCAGAGGCCACATGTCCAACAGAACCGAGTGGCTGCTACATGCGGTAGGTCCAGTCATACTGGCTAATGCTGGTTTTTAATGTTCTTGCAATGTTTTCTGCTGTCCCTCTACTGCACAGAGGTTTAAACCTGGTGAGTTTGACCTGTAACAGACGTGACAGTCCTTCCCCGTACTAGCAGCTTGTTGAAACATTCAGAGCTGCGTTTGCTCCTCTGAGCTCTAAACTAAAACCTCCTCCATCTGTGGCTGCAGACAGCAGCAGCAGAACAGAACGGCGCTGAGTGCCGGTTCTGCCTGCTGGCCCCGATGAATTAGTCAGTGGTCGGGATGTTGATTCAACACAGGTGCTCTGCTTTGACAGGCTCTCTGCAGTATTTAGGCAGCTGGGCGACAGCAGCAGCTTACTGCAGCTCCGGCGGTGACCTTTCTGGACAGAAATAGCTGCTGCGACCTTTCAGAAACACACAGGAACGAGTCGGGCCTCCGCTCAGAATATAGAGACGCTCAGGCAGTAAATGGATGAAAGTCCGAACAAATGAGTCGGAGGAGCGATAAGAGGAGATAAAGAATCCCATTTCCCCTCCGCCTGATCCCATCTCGCTCCCTTCCAGTGCCTGTACAGCTTCTTGTGCCTGGTGTGCTGGGCCACGCTGGGCAGGCGGCGGCTCAGGGACATCCAGGAGGAGCTGGGCCGCCTCCTGTACTCGGACACCTTCAGCCGGGCGGCGAGGAACGCCACCGATAACGGTTCAGCAGCTGACCCCGAGGAGGCGGCAAGCGGCGGTGCAGTCAGGCAGAGGTGTGTCACAGCACAGGGAGGGTTGTGTGGAGGTAACACTGGTGTATTTATAAGCACAGACAGAGCTTTAAAATGGGGACAAGTGACCTGCACACTGATGTCACATGAAAACACTTCAACACCAAACACGCCACTGCTTCTGGTCCTTTCTCTGCAAAATAACCTCATTTATCTACTTCCTGTAAAGAAATTCCCTTAAAATGTGGCCAGAAAGAGTCGGATACAGTGAAAAACTGTCTTTTCATATTTACTGCTCGTAAGCTGATGAGAAATTTACAAACCTGCATTTTTTTTTATTCTGAGGTCCTACTTTCACACATTAATGTTAAATCCTGTGCATACAGTCTGTGTGCTGAACCACTGGACTATGAACTGCAGCAGAAACACAAAGCAGGTTGTGGATTTATCATTTTTTGATTAAGTTTAGTATTTTATGCAAAGTGGAAAACAATAATTTTGTTATTCTGAATCTAAATTTCACTAAACGTTTATTATTAGTTTGCTGAACATGTTTCTGGCCCATAATAAATTCAGATTGGACACATCTGATGCTAAAAACAAGCAGAACTAATCAGTGGATAATATTAAGGAATTTTTAGTTGAATATAAAAAAAATCTGTGAAAATTAAAAGTGTGCTTTACAAACTGTAAAAACGTTGAAATAACAGAAAATATCTATAAAATAAGGATTTTTTTTTAGAGGATTTAAACACAGTTAAACTTTTACAGTCACATTGTAAAGGAACAAATTACTGTTTAGAAAAATCCAGATTTTTATTTTTATTTTTTTTGATGTGGACACATTTATTTATTTATTTATTTATTTTACATGTCAACATATTTAAATGCAGTAAAAATGGGTGTAATTTTAGGTAATTTGCACATGTTGTAAAATAAAAAATTACTATTTGTAAAAAAATAAATAACAAAATTGATGTGGACACTTTTCTTTTGAGCATCTTAATTAATTTGCTTTTTCCTGTAATTTTACTAGCTGTTTTCTGGAATCAAGCAAAACATTTAAAAAAAAAATTGCAAAATTATAGTTAACAGCAAATATCTACAAAACAATGAAATATTTTGCTGCATAAATGCAGTAAAAACTGGTCACATGCTGCAAAAGAACAAATAACTGTAAAAATACGGTTCTTGTCTTTTTCTTTTTCTTTGTTTTTGTTTTTTTTAAATTAGTTTTACAGTTAACGTAACATCATCTGTAATTCAGCAAAACTGGAGAAATGTGTAATTTCGTAAATTGTTCTAAATTATTATTATAATATATATTATTTCTAAATTCATTGTTATAAAAAACAACAACAAAAAAACAAACATGAAACTTGGGTTCACTTTTAACAGGGCATCTGTTTAAAAATGAGTCCCAGAACCAGTCGGACCTTCAGTCCGCCGAAGCCTCAGACAGTAAATCTGCCGTCTTGTCAGACTCGTGGCTGAACATGATGGATGCCGGCGGATTTAAAGGACGCCGCTCTGACAGCCGGCTTCATGTTCTCACTCCTGGCTGACGCCCGGCTGACGGCCGTGTGATCCATCAGAGGCCCGGTTCTGCTTCCTGCTGTCAGCTGCAGACCCAACAGTGAAACCGGCTCTCCTCCTGAGACAACAAGCCTCACATCCACACAGACACACACAGCGCTGCACTGATCCGCTGCACTCTGGCTGCTTGGTTATACATATATATTTATTTATCTCTCAGGAAGCAGCTGGATCTGAAAGTTTGATTTTCTGATTAATCAATTCTGGATATTTAGGTTTCTATCAAACAAAAAAACAACCACAAAATAATCTACATAAAATAAAAATAAAATGCAAAAACCAAAGCTGGCTTATGGGGAATCCTTGGATTTCTGTGACCACATTTCTTTTTTTTAGGATGGTAACTTTTAAATATTGAATCTTGATGATTTTTTATTCAGACTTTACAACCAGCAGCAGCAGCAGCAGTAATCTGTCACACTTCAACACAGACACGTTCTGACTGATGAATGTTCTGGACTTTTAAAAGACCCGATGCAGTATAATTGTTTATACATAGACTGGAACATGATCTACGAGGTATTTTTCTACTTGCTTCATATCTGTGAAATAGAAATGACCTGGAACATTAATACTTATGTCAGTATTGTGCACGAGTGTTATTCCTGTAATTAGTATTTATGCATATCCTGGTTTATGTTGGTCGTTTTGTTTTACATTTCCTTAATATTTGCACCATAATTAATAAAGACTCATCTTATTATTAGTTCTGTTATTTCCATTAACTTGTAGAGACTTTAATCAATCGCTCGGCGGTTCGATTCCCTGATTTGGGGTCTTTGAGGAAGAAAACTGATTCTGAAGTTGGTCGCTTTGTGTGAAACATCCTAAAAGGTGCAGATGGTTTATATTTATTATCATTTAGATGTACGTTACTGACGTTAATCTCTATGAGAATACAGAATGTTTAAATGAACCTTCGTCTGACTCGTGTTAACAGTAAGAAGCGGGTATAAAACAATAACACTAACTCTATTGATAAACCTTGTAAAATCAGTTCTACACCAAGAACACAGGGAAAGATTTAAATCAACACAACAAACACAAAGGATGCAAATAAAATAACAAAAGCACAAAAATGTTTGGTTAGATTTTTAAAATCAGCGGTATGAAACTTTCTCAGCTAAATTCACTCCATAAATAACTCTCAGTGCTAACACTGGAAATGTAAACCTAGAGAGCAGTTTGGTGCTTAAATATACAGTAAATGTTTTAAATACAGTTTCCAGCCTTCATTTTGCTGAATGTGGTTTTTGTTTTGTTTTTTTGCTATGTCACATTTAATACAAAAATAAATTAATATAGTTAAATCACGTTTTAATACAAATCATCCAGCTCAATACTATCAGTTGGGTTTTATTATATAATTTTATAAAAAAAAATCTGCTGTAAAACCTCTGATTCAGTGTCGAATTGCAGGAATCTCCCTTTATTTTTATATCACCTCAAGTGTTGTAGCAACAGTTCTTAACTTTACATCTTTACATAAACGTCTTGTATATTATCTGTCTGTCTATAAAACTAATGGACTTCCCTTTGCTACGAGTTGAATCAGAAGAATGTCTTGATGTGGTCATTTTATTTTTCTCCCAGAACATCTCGGAGGTCTTCGTCCCTCGTCAGTGCAGCGAACCAGAGATCTCCTCTGATGGTTTCTCTGCTGCCTTCGCCCAAAGAACGTTCCCCTCATCTGTTCCTCGCCTGGTCCAGCCGCCCGTCGCAGGCCGAGCACGTCCACACCGAGGCCCTGACGGAGCGACTGGACCTGGAGCCGGACCTGCAGCCGGCTGCCGTCAGGTCTGAACACACCATCCAACATCTGACACATGTTCTCCACCGTATGATGCAGCACATGAGACCTGTTGGTGTTTCAGTTCTGGTCCTCCTCAAACATCTGGTGGTTTAGGTGGAAACAGCTGCAGATGGATTTATTGCGTCTATAAGGAGATGTTGAGCCAGAACGATCTAAATCAGAACCTAAAGTTACATCAAAAGCTCAGTTTGAATCTGGAACAAGCTAAAGTCTGGTTGGGTCATCCTGTATCGTGTGCTGCCGTTAAAGGCTCACCAAGGTCCAAAAGTAAGTTTTATTGGTGAAAAATAATCCATATTAACGGGCTTAAATGGTATAAAGAAGTCACAGCGATCCTTCAGACGGAGCTTTGATGTGAACAGGTGCTCATAGATAGTTTCTGGAACGATTTCTGCTCCACCGTCTCTGATTTGACTGATTTTTTTTTAACAGAATAAAATATTGATATTCATAAAGACATTTCAGCTTTACATATCAAACACTTTTAAAGATTTTAGTTTTTCTTCTCAAACAGAAATTTGAGGCTGTTTGAACGACAACATCTCAGAAACTGTTGAAGGTCATCAGGGCTGCAGGTGTCTCAGTGGTTAGCACCGTGGCCTCACAGCTAGAAGGTCGCCGGTTGGCGTCCCGGTGAGGACACCCGGGATCTTCCTGCGTGGAGTCTCCATGTTCTCCCCGTGCAGCGTGGGTTCTCTCCGGGTTCTCCGGCTTCCTCCCACAGTCCAGAAACATGTTGAGGTTAATTGGTGATTGTAAATTGTCCGTAGGTGTGAATGTGAGTGTGCTTGGTTGTCTGTCTCTAAGTGTAGCCCTGTGATAGACTGGTTACCTGTCCAGGTGAACCTGCCTTCACCCTGAGTCAGCTGGGATAGACTCCAGCCCCCCATGACCCTAGTGAGGATTAAGCGGTGTATAGATGATGGATGGATGTTAAAGGTCGTCACATTTCTGGAACAGTTTCTGCTCCATCACCTCTGAAGTTCCTGAAATGTTTATAGTATAAATATATATATAATATAAATATATAGTATAAAACAGTGTACATTTGTACAGATACGTGTGTACTTTTAGATCAGTATATCAAACACTCCTGATCTATATTTATATTTCCAACGACCCACTTTACACAGTTTTTCTTCTCACATTGAAATCTGAATTCAGTTTGTTAGTGATTCTAGATTAATGCAAACTGTTGTGTTCATTTCTGTGTTTTGGTTGTTGAGGCCAAACATTGTTCAGAATGTCGTCACATAAAAACATGAGGTTTGGACTTATGAACAGAAAACTGCATGAATTGTCAGAATAAAACCATCCGACTCGTGTCAACAGATTTTAGTTGATTTATTTAAGTTTGAAAAACACTAATGGACCTGAATCATACATGTTCTATTCAGTTCTTCTGCATCTGTCCTGGTGGTGATTTCTCTTTAATTTAATCAGAGTTGGGATTCTTGGTAAACCGCTGGAGGAGTTGAGTGGCAGCAGAGACCAGAAACAGCTCCGAGAGGACGAGGACGAGGACGGAAAGAGTCAGGTAGCATCAATAATCAGGCACATGTCTCAGCCGTTCAGCGTTTTATCCTGTAGGTCTGCATGTTTATATCAGAGAGGTGAGTCTTTATGATCAATCCCACCGTAGAGCTTTAATATCAACTACAGTCACATAGAGTCGTGTTTTATATCATTCTTGGAGAGTTTAATCTCTCTTATGCTAATTTGTCAGGTAAAATGGTGCCACAGAAAACTCTGTACACCTCAATATTTAAGGTTGTTTTTATAAAGCTCGTCATAATTTGATTTGTTGGGCTTTCGGGTGAATTTTAGTTCACAGTTAATCATGCTGTCGGGATCGTAGCTGTAATATTATAAGTTAGGGCTGAGCTGTATTATTACTGTAGTTATGCTGTAAAGTCATATTTTATATCATTTGTGGGGGTTTTAACCCCTAAAATGTAGATTTCTCAAGTAAAACCACACCTTAAATAACACTGTATGTTGTTAACCTTAACATGTATGTTAGTTGGGTGACTCTCCTTCACTCTGAACATCGTTGGGTTTAAACTATAACATTAAATAAACTGGTTAGTTAATGACATTGTTGGGTTTCAGCCTTAATATTGATTAAATTGAGATAAACTTGTATTTTGTAGATTTTTTGTGGGGTTTTAATCATTAATATGTAAATTCCTCAGATAAAATCACACCTTTAATGACACTCAACACGCAAATTTAATATTTAAACTTGTCTTAATTATTTTTTATTAAAAGGCGCTTTGATGCAGCAGCTGCTCGTGCTTTACACAAATCAACCTGAATTCTTTTACTTTTGTTTAATCTGTTCAAAAACCAAACCGTAAAAATGACAGTTTGGTTTTTGTGTTTGTTTATATTTAAGAAAAGAAAAGTCCTGCACGTGTTGGTCTTTATGTTTAGATTTTAATGAGGATTAAATGATGTTTAAGGTGTTAATGTTCCTCTGAATGTGTTTGACCAGCTGGTGGTGCTGTTGAATTAAACATCATTAAGTCCACAACTCCTCTGAAGGTTTCACTTTCTACACAAGCTGGTCCATAATTCACACTGAACCTTCTGTATGAAGTCATAAATCCCTCAGTGGGTGTCGAACTGATCAGGGTTTGACTTTCTATGTACTCTGAAAATAAAAACATCACTAAACAGTGTCATAAATAATAATAGTCTCTGTACAAGAACACAACTTTTACTATTTTTTCATTAGTTGGGTTTTTAAAAAATATATATTATGAAAAAAAATGACTAAAGCTGCAAGTGGTGATGAACGGGTCCTCGCCGTACGTATGTCCAGGTGTGGTGCAGACATGCTCCGGGCGGGACTCTGATCCGGCGTGTCCAGAGCACGTGCAGCCTATGAGCCACTTCCTGTTTAGTGGCGAGCCGCGGCGGCGTGCGTGTTAGCTGTGGTGGAAACACGCTCTGGCTGAGAACTTCAGGCCGATGGGAGCACAGACAGGCCAGTTACACAGCACGGCTCGTATTCTGGTGTTTTATGGCGTTGTGGCTGAATGCAGGGGGCGCCATTTCCACGCCGTCACACTTGTGCAGAGGTTTTTACGAACATTGAATCACCACATCCTGTAGTCTGTGCTGGCCAACTATCAGGTGTGTACGACCCTCCCTGTAGGAGCAGATGGATTTGAAAATGGCCGATTTTTGACCACAAGCCACCATTTTATTCAAAATGGCCGACTTCCTGTTGAGTTTCGGCTATGTGTTCTTGAGGCTTTTTTGTGCATATCAGAATGTTACGTGTATGTGCTGAATTTCGTGGCTGTACGTGAAAGTGTGTTCGGGGGCCCTTTTGTTGTAATTTTCTAGGTGGCGCTGTTGAGCCATTTTTCTACTGAGGCGTGTATTTCCCCCTAATTATAACATTTTTCACTGGGTCTGATGTGTGTGCCAAGTTTTGTGCGTTTTCGAGTTCGTTTAGGACCTCAAAACGCGTTTCATTGTCATGAACAGTAATAATAAGACAAACCGAGCAGCTCCAACAGTAACAATAATAATAATAATAAATCCCTACTGGTTCCAGTGGGGTCCTTGCACTGGTGTGCTCAGACCCTAACAATAAAATAAACCTGATGAAAAACCAGAAATTCAGTTTCTGATTGTGAGGATCTGCTGTTGATTTCACATCGTATTAAGCATCATATATGTAATGAATATTTAATATATCAATAACAATTATTATTATGTTATTCTAATATTGTTTAGAGTTCCAACGGTGTGTCAAAAGTGAAATAATCCATAAGATTACAGATTTTAGTTTGATTTTTGACCTCTAAAATTAATAGATTTACCTTTAAAAAAATCTGTAAAACCACAGTTTTTAAACTTTAATGATTATAAATGCACTAATAAACTATTGATTTTTAATAACAGGAAGTGCAGCGGACGTTTTTCATAGTTTAGTTATAGTTATAGCTCTATTATTATTTATGACATCGCATATTTAGATTCTTAACTAAATTCTTGCACTTATACTTTCCTCTTATATTGTTATTTTAGGTGTTTTCTACTCGTGTTTATTATATATTTTTTCCTGCTGCTCAAGTTTTCAGGACTTTGAATCGAGTGTTTCTGACTTGAAGCAGGTTTTGTGTCCACGGCGTCCTCAGCGGCTCTGACGGGAGGCAGCAGACGGAGCTTTGCTGCGCCCTAATTGGCTGACTAATCTGGGACACCGGAGCAGCGTTAAGCCCTCGGAGGATCCAGCATTAGGACGGGGGAGGGTCACGAGACTCGCCTCAAACTGGCTGCAAAATTCAGATTTGAACATTTGCTTTTTCACTCCCAGAGCGTTTCACCAGCGGCGGCCACAGCTCCTGTCTGTCTGCTGGTTTTAATCAGGCCAGAGGACGAGTGAGGACGTCTCCAGGTGAACTCACACCTGGTTCTGTCTCGTCTCTGTCCCCTGATGGGACTTTGGCTTCATCTGTGGTTAAAACGGGCCAGCAGTCAGAACCTGGACCCACTGGAACCTGTTCAGAGCCCAACAGGTAACTCTGAGTTAATAAAGCTAAAGGTGCTGCACTCAGACTGTCAGTTTCACGAAAAGACTGCAAATCACGGAGCTCAGCGTTCCGACACATGAGCTGAAATAACCAAATCCTGGAAACCTGTTCCTGTTCAGAATCAGTAACGCTTTACAGTCGGGTAAAGTCGTATTTAATAGAATTATTTTAGGGTTTCAGCCTCTAATATTTACACGATTCAGGTGAAATGACACCACAAACACCTGTGTTGAGTTTTAACCCCAATATCCAAACCTGTTCAGGTAATTTTAACACTGATCAGAATCTTTTTTTATTGAAAGATGCTTTAATGCAGCAGCTGCTCTATAAAAACTCATTATTTTATCTTTGCATGTTTGGGATCTTATTCATTTGTTTGGATTGTTTGTCTAATCTGACACTTGTTTTGTTGTAAAGCACTTTGTAAAAATACTAATCATTATTATTATCATTATTATTATTATTATTACAGCTGGCTAGCTTAGCTTAGCTTAGCATGTAAGATAGCACTTCTAAAGCTAACAAATTAACCATAGTTAGACAAAGGAATTAGCACATATTCATTCTTTGTAAAACAGAGGGTTAAACAAATAAGATGTTAATTTGTGACTTTTAGTGAGATTTTATTAGCTTTTGACAAAACAAGCTAAGCTAACTGCTACGCAAGCTAGCGGCTACATATTTGCTGTACAAGCACGAGGTGGCATCGATCTCATCAAACTCAAAAGAAAAAGCAACAAAAAGGCAAATTTGTCCACTGTTACGTGTCTGAGTGTCGTTTTTAATCGTTCTTGTTCTGCTCAGGAAACATTTAACGATCAATCCTCTAGAAATTAAAAACGTTGTGTTTTCATCAAGGCAACCAGAAAGTTGATTTGACTAAACTCCTTAATGTTGTTTTACGGTGCAAAATTCATTATTCCATCAATGATCCACCAAATACAGCAGAACAGGCCCAAACCATGATGGTGCCGCCGCCGTGCTTCACAGGTCTGTCATAAACACATGAAGCTTCTCGTTTACACCAAAGAGTTCTGTTTTAGTCTCGTCCAACCAAACATTTTCCAGACACCTTCAGGTTTGCACGCTGTTCATGAATTTTAACAAATCAGTGAAAATCTGGCCGTAAAGGTGCCAGAAAAATGTGCTGAAGTGGTGGAATCCTGCTCAGTTACAAACGGCACAAAAATACCCGTAAAACATTCAGATTTCTAGTTGATTTAAATACAACAAAACGATGCAATCTTATGTTCTCACATTATAAAAGAAAAACAAAATGCTATTTGAACAAATACTCATTTGTTATGTGGACATTATGGACAGTTCTGGTTTTTTCACTGTCAATGTGTAAATTATTGTTTTCTGTGATTTTACAAGTTATTTTCTGTAACTCAACAAATAATGGAAACTCTGTAAAATACAAGTAAACTGTTCAACAAAGTTAAAAACTGGAATTTTTATTTGATATTAATTGGTTTTTATTTTTTAAATGCACTAGATCAGTCTGTCACACAAAGACAAAATCCAGGAAGTATCTTGCTGCTTTGAGTTTATTTTGTTTGTTTATGTGAAATATCTCGGCTGAATTTTGAGATTTTCATGTTTTCAGACTTGTGAAGTTTTGTATTTTCACCCTCAAAAAAACCTGTGAAGCCATTTTAAAGGTTCAAAATATCCAGAAATGAACCTCCTGCTGTTTCATTTAGCTTCTGTTCGTCTAGTTTTAGCTCTTGTGTGAAAATCTGATGAGGCTGAGTTCATATCGATGCAGAATTAGAGACAAAACACACATTTCCAAGCAGCTGACATAGAAATAGTTTCCTCTCTGTGAAAGTGACTGAAGCTGAAGTCATGTTTCCCTTCATGAAGCTGAATTTAAAAACGTTCTGTTATCTGATCTCAGCACCTGCTTCCGTCCCTGAGCTTTCAAACACAACCGTGAGCCCAGGAGCTAAATTAACGCAATTATCTGCTCGTCTAGATTCCTCTGAGCTCTGAAAATCACAGCTCGGTGAAGGACGCGTCGGGCTGAAGGTGTCTGAGGATCCGTGTGAAGGAAAAGACGGAACGAGTCGGTTTGATAATGAACATTAAAAAAAAAACCAACAAGCTGCACAGCTCAACCACAAACAATAATCTGGTTCATCAGACGGTTCTAACAACCTAACGAGCAAAACTTTTAATTCTTAAGCCTCCAAATCTGCTTCCTCTGAGAGTTAAAGGTTCATTTTTTAAACCATGGCTGCATGAAGTTAATATTTAATGCAGGAGGAGTTTATTCACATTGAAGCTCAGTTATTGTGTAAAAGAAAAGGTAGCTGTTTGTTAATCCCACAGTGGGAGATTCACAGCCACAGCAGCAGAGATGGTGCCAAACATTTAAGGA